GTATCTGGGGGCGGAGGCCCGGCCCGCGCCCTCCGCTACCACTGAGCCCGGCTCGCGCCTTCACCCTCGCCCTCTCGGTCCCTCATCCCCATCCCGGACCACAGAGCCCTGGCGTCCCAGAATCTGGTCAGGTGCTGGGCGCCTGGGAGCCTCGGGCCACCCGCCTGCGGTGGAAGGGGACGAGTCCCTGTTTGTAAATCCAGTTTAGTTGTGGCTAGGACCACGCTGAGGGTGCTGGTCGTTTTGCAGCGTGGAAGTAGGTGGGTTGAACATGGGGGCCCGTGGCCAAGACATGGGTTTAAGGCTAGAAACTGGGTTCTGGCCCAGCCCAGGCACATTTCCTCATTGGAGATTTAAGTAAATCTCCTCCCCCTCAGTTTTCTCATCTGTAAAGTGGGAATGATGACTGGACTTCCTTAAGGGTGGTCGTACGGATGAACCGAAGTGGTGTTGGCAAAGCACATGCCTGAAACTGCGGAATCGATCCACGGCGTCCAGTTGGGAGACCTGGGACAAACGCTTGAGCTTCAGATTGCTTGGCTGGAAACGTGAGGCGTAATCCCACTCTACGAGTTTTCCAAGGTCTGATGAGGACCTGAAGCCACCAAGGGCGCAGGAGCTGGGAGAACAGAGCCCAGGTGCAGAAGAAACCCCTCTCCTTCCCGTTCTGCGCTCTTACCCGGGATGGAAACGGGAAGAGAGTGCCCTGCAGCACCGGGGCGGGGCGGCGGGGCAAAGGGATTCCCAGGCCGAGCAATTGCCCTGGGCTGGAGGAAATCTACAAGATCACTCTCAATTTTCAAATGAAAAAATTGAGACCCGAGAGAGGAAGGCGCCTGCTCGCATCCTGCCTCCGCCCCCCTCGGGCACCTAGGGTCCGAGAGAGTATTGAGGAAAGCGAAGTCAAAAAGCCGAGATCTTCAAGCCGGGAAATACTACAGCTATGCATTGGCAGCGACGCAGCCGACCAAAAGACCCGAATCTGAAGGCTTGGACCCTTGGCTGAGGCCGGCTTCGTCTGGGCCCCTGCCCCGAGGCCTCTGGCTTTAGTTGAAGCTGGCGCCTTGGTCCTGCGAGCCCGGGCCCAGAAACCCGGCTCGGACCACCTCTCATCTCGCTCACGCTGCGGAATGAAGGGCAGAATCTGCGGCCGACTTGCGGTGCAAGCTAGGGCAGTTCACTTCGCTTCTCTGAGCCTCAGTTTCTCCGCATATAAAATGGAAAAGATCGGCCCTACAGAAGGGGTTCTGCGGTTTCCGTGAGATTCCATGGACGAATCTTGGTGAGGAGGAAGGAGAGAGAGTTAGTTGCAGGCTCCCCACCCCAAGCCCCTGAGAAACAAGAGTGTCTGCAGGAGCTGGGGGGCGGGGGCTACTGCCTCTGAACAGCTCCCCATCAGGGAGGGGCCCTCAGAAAGTGGAAAGCAGGAGGGGCACTACCTCTGCAGCACAGTGAAAGGGACTGAGGGGGAGGGCTGGGCTGGGGAGGTCCCTAGTCAGTTTCCCTAGGGTGGAGCCCACTGGGGTCTCCTGGACATTGTTGAAGAAGACCCAGGCAGTGTAAGAGCAAGTCTGGGCTGGGGGCCCAGGGGGGTGGGGGCTGGGCTCTGAGCCAGTTCTCCCCTTCTTCCTCCACCTAGAACCCCCTCCCTCAGAGGTTCCACTATCATAGGTTAGGAGACCTTCATTGTACCCACCCCTCACAGCCCCACGTTCCAGCTCAACATGTGGGAAATCACGCCCCTCACCTATCTACCCAGGGAAGCAAACAGCCCTGGCCTAGCCACAGAACCCAGACTGACAGAAGGATACTGGAGACAGATGCATGAATCCACACAGACTCAGAGACATCCACAGAGACAGCAGGCAGGGAGGCCCAGAGCCCCAAAGACAGACCGAGGGATTCAGGAGCTCAGGACACACTCACAGACTATGAGACTTGGGCCAAGACAGCCCTGTGAGCACTGAGCCACTCGTAGACAGCAGGACACCCACAGACCCCTGTATGGCCTGTCCCCATAGGCCTAGCTCCTCCCATCAGCCACCCAGGGGAAAAGAGAGGGTAGCATGGTGGAAGGGCAGGTCTGGGGAGATCCCTGGCCCCTTCCTTGCCCAGCGTAGCGGGCACCAGTCACTCAGCAGAGCAGGCAGTGGCCGGCCCAGGCCGGAGGGAGGCTCTGAGGAGGGAGGCTGGCCATTAGAGGCCTGGGCCCAGGCCCTCACTTACGGAGCGGAAGGCGAGCTCTCACGCTGGATGAGGGTGGACAGTGGGCACCGGGGGTCCGAGGGGAAGCTCCAGAGGCCCAGGTGGGGCAGTAGCGACTGTGGGCACACGGAAACTCCTTCACGCCACGGCGGGCGGCGGGCGGACAGTAGGCTGGCCCTGTCCGTCCGTCCTCCTCCTCCCCGCCCAGGGGGGGGCCACCAGAGGCCCAATTGGTCTCTGCCCCCACGTGACTCTGCAGGCCTCTCTCCTTCTTTGTTGGTGTTTCTCTTCATTTAGGTCTATTTTTTTTCTTCTTCCTAAACGAAAAAAAATAAAACCTACCTCTATCTCGGTCCGGCCGGTGGGCGGGAGGCGACGACGCTCTGTGGCGTCGTCG